GCAGCATCGAGCATGGTCATAACTCATAAAATAACTTCGAACGATCCCTTCAGTTGGCGGCAAAATACAGGACCCATTCCTTCACCTGGACTGCTGCCTCATTCGACATATGCTACCTCTTGCGGTAGTGCCACCCGTGGTATAACCACATACCGTGCCTTTACTCTTCGTTCCGGGCCACCTCACCGAGGTATTAATAGCCGTGTCTCACTCCCTGTGCGACAACCACCTCCCTCTGTACATACTGCTGCACCCCTGACAAACAGCCGAGCCAGTGCAGTGGTTGCCGCATTGACAGCTAGGCAACGAGCTTTTGGCGGCGTGATGAACGGCTCCGATCCACAGCGAGTATTGCCCACTTCCTTCTCCATAGTCGAGAGTGGTCCGTTGCCTCTAAGCCGCTACGCTTTTCTGCCAGCCCTACATCAGCAATTCCACCTCCAAGCCAAATTTCTTAGGCCTCATGGACTTCGGACAAACCTTGGGCCTGGAGTAGGTCTCGGCTTACCAAATGTAACTAATAGGGCAGACGATAGTGAAGAGGAAGAGGAGGAGGCTTACAATAGCGTTGAGCCTTACACTTGCACAGCCGCTTTGGCTCAACGTCGCAAAAATTCGCCTGAGCTTTGGCTGCGTCGTGTCGAACGGCTGACTAGATTCCTGGAACGCAGGCCGCATCGAGGCGAGCTGATCGCTAAAAATATTCTTCCAAGCACAACACCGGAGGAGAGAGCTGAGATGCGCGTTGAAATAGAAGCAACTCTTGAGCGCAGACTTAGCCAGCGTCCTACTGCAGGGGAGCTAGAACAGAAGAACATTTTGCATTGTAAATGATTTCGATTAAATTTTTTTGAAATCATCCATTGTTAGAGAAGCTCGATCTTTAACGAGCTATTTTTAGGGCCGATAGTGTTAGAGTATTTATACTATTTCATAATTGATTCTCCTAGCAGATTATTTTTACAAGCATATGAGTTTACAATATTCAATTAGCAAAGAAACTTGTTCTCTTTAATAAGTTCCTTCCTTTAAGAGATCTCAACACCCATAATTGTATCACATTCCAACTTTAATGCTTTTATGATGGCTTTAGAATGGAATAAGCATATAAGTGATATTTTGCTAATCAAACAAAACATTGAAGTTGTTTGACCTTGCTTTCGCAACTTGATCATATTGGTAGGAAAACCTAGAGAAACGCACCTAGTTCGGTGTCTATAGTATGTATGATTATTTATAAAGTAGAAACTTGGACGTGATACGTTCCCATTCGTTTCGCCGGCTTTGTCAGGGAGCCTCGCCATTCCTAGCACCACACTACAACTTGTCAAAGAGACAAGTGAAGCCTATCCTTTGACTAATTGTCTGCTAAACAATTGTGGTACCTCTCCTTCCGCCCTATTCTATTCACTAATCCTATATCCTCGCATCACCCCTTCACTATCACAATTTATTATTTAAACGTGGTATACTGTACTTTTTTGAGCGGATTTCATGAGAATTTTCCACACCTTGCACTGGCTTTCTCAATCCCTCACTCGCTTTCATCCTTGTGCTGGGAATGTTGATCAGAGTCTGCTATATTATTCCACAATCCTTATAGGTCTTGTCTCAGTCCCCCTCTTGCCCCGTAGGATCCACCTCCTTCTTTCCTGGTTCGTTAATTTGACTCGACCCTGCCACTCTATTTGTACTACACGAAGCGTTATTTCCCAATCTGCCTCAAGCCCTTGATGGCACGCATA